TATGTATATATGTGTGTATATATGTGTGTGTGTATGTATATATGTGTGTGTGTATGTATATATGTGTGTATATATATATATATGTGTGTATGTATATATGTGTGTATATGTGTGTGTATGTATATATGTGTGCATATATGCGTATATGTATATATGTGTGTGTATGTATATATGTGTGTGTATGTATATATGTGTGTGTATGTATATATGTGTGTGTATGTATATATGTGTGTGTATGTATATATGTGTGTGTATGTATATATGTGTGTGTATGTATATATGTGTGTGTATGTATATATGTGTGTGTATGTATATATGTGTGTGTATGTATATATGTGTGTGTATGTATATATGTGTGTGTATGTATATATGTGTGTGTATGTATATATGTGTGTGTATGTATATATGTGTGTGTATGTATATATGTGTGTGTATGTATATATGTGTGTGTATGTATATATGTGTGTGTATGTATATATGTGTGTGTATGTATATATGTGTGTGTATGTATATATGTGTGTGTATGTATATATGTGTGTGTATGTATATATGTGTGTGTATGTATATATGTGTGTGTATGTATATATGTGTGTGTATGTATATATGTGTGTGTATGTATATATGTGTGTGTATGTATATATGTGTGTGTATGTATATATGTGTGTGTATGTATATATGTGTGTGTATGTATATATGTGTGTGTATGTATATATGTGTGTGTATGTATATATGTGTGTGTATGTATATATGTGTGTGTATGTATATATGTGTGTGTATGTATATATGTGTGTGTATGTATATATGTGTGTGTATGTATATATGTGTGTGTATGTATATATGTGTGTGTATGTATATATGTGTGTGTATGTATATATGTGTGTGTATGTATATATGTGTGTGTATGTATATATGTGTGTGTATGTATATATGTGTGTGTATGTATATATGTGTGTGTATGTATATATGTGTGTGTATGTATATATGTGTGTGTATGTATATATGTGTGTGTATGTATATATGTGTGTGTATGTATATATGTGTGTGTATGTATATATGTGTGTGTATGTATATATGTGTGTGTATGTATATATGTGTGTGTATGTATATATGTGTGTGTATGTATATATGTGTGTGTATGTATATATGTGTGTGTATGTATATATGTGTGTGTATGTATATATGTGTGTGTATGTATATATGTGTGTGTATGTATATATGTGTGTGTATGTATATATGTGTGTGTATGTATATATGTGTGTGTATGTATATATGTGTGTGTATGTATATATGTGTGTGTATGTATATATGTGTGTGTATGTATATATGTGTGTGTATGTATATATGTGTGTGTATGTATATATGTGTGTGTATGTATATATGTGTGTGTATGTATATATGTGTGTGTATGTATATATGTGTGTGTATGTATATATGTGTGTGTATGTATATATGTGTGTGTATGTATATATGTGTGTGTATGTATATATGTGTGTGTATGTATATATGTGTGTGTATGTATATATGTGTGTGTATGTATATATGTGTGTGTATGTATATATGTGTGTGTATGTATATATGTGTGTGTATGTATATATGTGTGTGTATGTATATATGTGTGTGTATGTATATATGTGTGTGTATGTATATATGTGTGTGTATGTATATATGTGTGTGTATGTATATATGTGTGTGTATGTATATATGTGTGTGTATGTATATATGTGTGTGTATGTATATATGTGTGTGTATGTATATATGTGTGTGTATGTATATATGTGTGTGTATGTATATATGTGTGTGTATGTATATATGTGTGTGTATGTATATATGTGTGTGTATGTATATATGTGTGTGTATGTATATATGTGTGTGTATGTATATATGTGTGTGTATGTATATATGTGTGTGTATGTATATATGTGTGTGTATGTATATATGTGTGTGTATGTATATATGTGTGTGTATGTATATATGTGTGTGTATGTATATATGTGTGTGTATGTATATATGTGTGTGTATGTATATATGTGTGTGTATGTATATATGTGTGTGTATGTATATATGTGTGTGTATGTATATATGTGTGTGTATGTATATATGTGTGTGTATGTATATATGTGTGTGTATGTATATATGTGTGTGTATGTATATATGTGTGTGTATGTATATATGTGTGTGTATGTATATATGTGTGTGTATGTATATATGTGTGTGTATGTATATATGTGTGTGTATGTATATATGTGTGTGTATGTATATATGTGTGTGTATGTATATATGTGTGTGTATGTATATATGTGTGTGTATGTATATATGTGTGTGTATGTATATATGTGTGTGTATGTATATATGTGTGTGTATGTATATATGTGTGTGTATGTATATATGTGTGTGTATGTATATATGTGTGTGTATGTATATATGTGTGTGTATGTATATATGTGTGTGTATGTATATATGTGTGTGTATGTATATATGTGTGTGTATGTATATATGTGTGTGTATGTATATATGTGTGTGTATGTATATATGTGTGTGTATGTATATATGTGTGTGTATGTATATATGTGTGTGTATGTGTGTGTGTGTGTATATATATATATATGTATGAGAACCCCTAACTTATGCCATGTACAACTCCAACTTTGAGGGCCACTTACAAGGTACACTTTCCAGTGGAGGGCTGCCACTAGTGGAATCTGATCTGATTGGATACAAGTCCTCAACATATCCTCCTTAATCTGTGCAGGCATGTGCACAGAGTAAAGTTTCACTGTTCAACAAGGGTATGAGATTCACTCTTACCTTTCAGTTTCTTTTTCATTTAATGAACTGGCTTAATTAAGAATAATGGTCAGCTACTGGTAGGCCATTATCCTTGACGGGCCTCATTCAGCTTGAAAACTGCATGTTGCACACCCTTGTCACATTCTCAGAACTACATCTATGGATGTGCAAAGTGCCTAAAACTTATGTGCCTTTCTGCAAAACAAATGGGCAAGGGCGTAAAGTCCATTTTGATGGCATAAATTCCTTTGTGCTCCCTTCCTTAATATTTCAGGCAGAGTGTGTTGTGCCTGAGTTCCCCCTGTGCATTTTCTCTGTCTGTCTTCTCCAAAGAGGCTTACTCCAAAGGCTGGATGCCACTACCCTACACTTAGAAGACTATGACAGTCAGTTTCTCCCCTCTCTGAGCCCAGGTGCCCTATGATTGTGCTTCTGTTTATGCACCCACATTTCCTTCCATAGTCTCTGGAGAAACCTATAATACTATACTGCCTACTGTTGTTACCCTACCAGACAGCCTTACTTAGCTTAAAAAACTTAAGCTTTGAATTCCCTAATTGTGTGGTGAATATATCACAGCAGTGACCAACTGAGGGGGTTTTTTTGTGGGTTTCTTTTTTTTTTTACCTTTCTCTCCTTTCAGGTATGACTCTGGAAAGGATGGTTACATAGACTTAATGGAGCTGAAACTGATGATGGAGAAGCTGGGAGCCCCTCAGACGCACCTGGGCTTGAAGAACATGATTAAAGAAGTGGATGAAGACTTCGATGGCAAGCTCAGCTTCCGTGAGGTAGGGGTCAGCAAAGAAACAAACTATTTTAAGAAAATGAATGAGAATCTGGTAGCCTGCTGCTTCTAGGTCCCATCTGTAAATTGGGTTCTTCCAGATCTTCTTTTTAATATGACCAAGGCACATACATTTGAAATGCTTCCATGTGACTTGCAGCTGTGGAGATATAATAAGATGCGAAGAGAAACAGGCAAACTTTCTTGTATGAAGTAAGAGTAAGGTACTGTTGAATAACAGTTTGTGTGCTCTTCGTGTGAATGTAACCTGGTTCACTAAGCAAACAGATAGTTATTTTCTCCATTGGCTTCCATTTTAAAATGGTCTTAGATGTACCCTTATGTAGGTAGTATTCCAAGAACCCTGTCTACCCTAAGAAAATACTTACATATTTTATAGTACTGCTACTGCTCCACTGAAGATGGGAAGGGCAGAGAATAATGTAATTAAGGCTCAAGTGACACCAGTTTGTCTGGTTTTTGCAATGCATGATGTAATGTTGACATTCTCTTAAACTACTATGATGAGACTGAGATGCTAGTACTGGCTCCCTTTTAAGATGCAAAGGAAGGATTCGGCTGGCAGGGGCGGGGTGAGTGGAATCTCTCTGAAACCTTTGCAGGATGTGCAAGCTTGCTAATTTCTGTCTACGGTTGTCTGTATCAGGTAGTTGCCAATCGTCCTGAGCTCAGTGGGGGTCATGATGACAAATGGAAACCTAATGATTTAATGATTTGGGTAGTTGATTGTGGCTCAGGAGAAGTTCTTCTTCCCCCCCCTCCCCCATGCATCTAGTGCCACTTCTTAATGTGGTGACAGATGCAAGGTAGGTGCAGTGGAGCAAATGAATTAGGGGAAACTAGGAAATTTGTCTCTGGTCTATAAAGGAATAGAAGAGCTGCACTCCTGGTCTATATCCAGTCTCGGTAGCATCCTGGCTCCTGTAACCTATTGTCTTGCCCTTGGCATAAGTAGCAAGAAACCCATCTTCTCCTGTACCAGTCACCAGAATTTCTGGTTTCATCTTTCTCCTGGTCTTCAAAAACTTCTGTAAAGCATTTGCATTTAATTGCTACAGGAATCTGCAATGCATAAAAAAAAAATGGGGATGTTGAGTACACAAGGGATACAGTCTTTTGTATCTTCAAAAGCATATGATGATTGTCCTATCAACATCCCACTGAGAAGGCTTTCCTAGGTGGATCTAATGCAGGCTGAGAGCAGGTTCCTAAGAGTTTTGTTTCTAAAAGAGATGGTGCTCTTTCTACTGAATGACAGTCTTGCTCTGCCCACCTGCTTATCAAAGGGGATTTCTGTCATCACAACCAAATGACTGAACCCTTTGCTCTTTGGATGAGGAACTTTCAAATAAAGTGCCAGGGCAGTTCTAGCAGCCACTGAACAAGAGGGTGTATAAAAGAACAGGCAGCAGCTGAATGCTTGGAAGTGCTATATGCCAAGTGGGAAGAGGTTTGAGAGACCGAAGTGCAGACACTAGTTTGTTGTTAGACTGGCAAAAGGCATGAAAAGAGATCAATACAGATGAGAAAAGCAGCAGCTGTCAGAGCCATATTGTGGTATGTGTCCCAGCACATCTAGCGGAGTTCTTGCCTTCTGAAAATTATTCATCGTGTGCTGTGGTAGTACCAAGGAGCCCTAGTCTTGCATTTAATACAGGACAAGAGCAACTTGTTCATCATAGCAAGTTGCTATAATAAACAAGTTGAACAACTTGTTCATGAACACCCATCTAAGTGCTTTAGCATATTCACCATCCACATCGCTGTGAAAACTTCCTTGCTGATATTCTATTCATTAGCAGCCAACTAGTTTTATAATGTAATATCTCAGAATGTTCCTGTGGCTATGACTGATATTTCAACAGTGGTGTTGGTCCCTCTTATTGCAGGGAGGAAAAGTCTTTCTCAAATATGCATTTAGAGAAACCTAGTGTGGTAGAAGGAAGCCAACATGATAAAGGCTCTTTTTATGTGAGGGTAGAAAATGTAAATGCTTCTGTCTATTCCTCTCTGGCTTTGAGGCTTTCCATAGATAAGTGCCATGTCGAATCCCCAGCACCACATCTAGTGCGCCTGATATTTGAATATTGTTCCCAGTGCTGAACAAGTGTTCCTGCCACGATTTAGAGGAAAAGATTTTTCTCAGAAGGAAAATAAAAGTTGTGCTTCAGATGACAGTCTCCTCGAGCAAGTGCTGGATTAACCTCAGCTGTGTAAGTGGCCTTCTTATTGGTCACAGTTTCAGTACCCTGTTTTGAATGTCTACTGACCCAAGAGGTCAGGTTTCTGGATCCCCTCACCTAAGCAAATAGCTCTGCAGACCTCCTTCTCTCAGCATCGTGTTAGCCACTGAGCACAGTTTTGCTGGAGTGGACATTGTATCTTGAAATCAGTAGCATGCTTGTAAATCAACTTGTTGACTCAAAGCATGTGCTTGGATACTTGTGATACCAGCTGTAGCTTTGCTGTGAGAAATACAGTTGAGTAAGAACAGGTATCAGAAAAACTTGGAGCAGGTTTATTGCTGAGTCTAGCAAGTAGTGGTGGGGAAAAAACAAAAGACAGGAAAACCTGTAATGAAGACTGGGTCAGGGAAGAAAGCCTGCTTGTTCTTTAGATGAAATAGACTGCTCTGAGACTTCACCCATAAATGGAGCCACAGATCCTTCTGAACTATCCCAAGGAATATGATGGAGTAGGAAACATCCCTTCCCATGAACCTAGGTGAAACTAAGGGTGAGAATAAGAAATGGAAGCAGCCAGGAAGTTGCATGCATGAGACCTAGTTTTTGTCTGCTTTTGAACATTATCACCACTGTTTAAGTAGATCAGTTCAGGTTCATGTGAGGAGTGAAAGCTACTTCTTCCCTCCTGGCTCTGTAAGGTCCTTTCCTGCTGCTCCCGCTGTTTCCTGGCACTGTCATCATAGTGCCAGCAGCAACAGCCTATTCCCTCCTTCATCCAGCTGTTTCAACTGCACTAAGCTCTGCTGTCCCCTGTATGTTTGGTTTTAGGCTCATTCTGGGGATTTCTGCCAATACGTGGCATATTGTGAACAGCAGCTGGTGCTGGTCCATTATGAAGCCAGGTGCAAAATGATGGCCAGGCAGGAAAAACTTAAAGTGGACACCGAATGAATTACACAATAAAATAAGAAAAATCTTGCTGTAATAAAATTGCATGTTAGGCTTATCTATCTCAACAGGTATCCTAAGCTTGTATCCATATGTCACCAGGCTCCCCCCATCTCTCTGCAAATGCACTTTGTTCTGTTTTTCTACATAATGCAGAAAAATCATTTGATTGAAGAATGCCCTGATTCCACCCCTGTTGCCAGTGGATGATGCAATTGTGTCTTTGTACAGTCCTACTTCCCTTTTGTTTGTTGGCAATAAATATGTGGAAGGGAATTGAATTGACAGTCCTTTCTCCCAATTTTCACTTGTTTCTTTAGCAACTAATCTTCCTTCAGTTCTTGGCAGGCTAGTACTCTAACTTAGCAACGAAATCTGAGATTCACTTGCAATCTTCAGTCCAAGTGTCCTCAGATTGTTGAGACTAGCCATCACAAATTTATCAGTTTCTCTGTCATTTGTGAGTTGGGTTTTTTCAAATAGAGCCTGTCTCTTCCCTTTTTTTATCAGTTCATTGTTCCTATGCCCCACTTAATCCAATTTCTTGCCCCACAGAAAGCCTCTGTCTTTTTGAGGAGAATGGCTTATTTTATTACAAGGTGCCTGGTGCTGGCATTTGGAATGGTAAGGTACTGAAGCTGGAAATGAACAGAAGTTGCTAATTGGTGCTTCAAGGGCTGGCTGTACTACTGATAGGCACAAATGTTTATTTCTAATTTTGGTGACCATTTCTGTGCCAAGGTAGGCTTAGAGTAGGAGAGGCTGCAGGAGCTGAACTTCCAGAGGATCTCATGAGAGATCATACACGGAACAAAGCAAACTAACTTTGTTCCAGCCATAAGGTCCTGCACCTAGTCGTCATGTGTTGCTTTTTTCTGAACAGTAGCATGTCACAGGATATCATTAGCAGCTGTGAGACTGCCCCATAATCTGCCTTCCTCCTGTGCATTCTGTAGCTCTCAACTCCTGAGCCAGAACAGGAGAATAAACTATTTCTCCATATGTAAATTACATACCATTATAGCCTGGCAGTTACTCATGTATGGAACTGGCTTCTTAGTGCAACTGAACTGTGTGCCTGTTAATAAAGCTGACTTGGACTCTTGACCTTTTGTCAAGAGTCCATCAATAAATCATCAATTAACTCCACAAAATTCCTCTCCAAGACTAAAGTTTATGCAGCTTATGCTTAAAAAAAGCCTACTCTACAGTACTTAAGGTCTTAATCCACAGGCACCCAGTATAGCGAATAGTTGGAACAGTAGCACTTCACACTGGGTAGATTTGGCATGCATGAAAATCTATTCCAGCATGCTCACGCCAGCTGTAGTAAAATGCTACATCTCTGATCTAGGTCATACGTCTGTTGCTTGCTCATGCACTCATAGCTTTTGATAGCATTGATTGTTGGTCACAAGGCCCACTGCCACCTCACTTCTCTCATTCACTGACTTCATGCAATATACAGTATACAATAAGCAGAGATTATAACAGTCATGCTTCTGACAGTACACTCATTTCAGGTCATCAGATATCTCCACTTCCAGGTCTTAATGTAGCTTTGTGGAACAGGAGTATCTCTCCTAGACCTTGGATGAGCAGTGCAGGTGCTGAGCCAGGGGAAGTCATAAAGCAGTTGAAGTCCCTAATCACATCAGTGGAATGGGGGCTGAGGAGTGCACTCTGCCATCCATGCTTCTCGGGAACAGAGTGTTAGGCACTTCTTTCAGGTGCATAAAACAACCTGCCCCATATTCCTTAGGCTTGGCTACCATCCCATGAGATTACTTTCTTGTTACCATATTTTTTTCCAAGGGGTAGGGTTAGTTCATAAACTACAACACAGAAAGGACCAGTACTTTTATTTCCTACAGCAGTGCTGTTCAAAGTGGTGGTCTGCGGACTGGTGCCGGTCCATGAGCCACTGGTTGCCGGTCTGCAGCGAGTTGCCAGGAAAGAAAGAAATATATTTTCAGAAGCATAACATTGATGTCATAGCACCACAGTTCGCACGTTCCAACACTCCAGGTGACGTCACGTCATGTGAGGTAGGAAAGAGAAAGAAACAGCCAGTTGCGCGTTTGTGTAGCGCTGTTGCATGCAGCTGCTGCCACTGGCTGAACCAGGCACCGGTCCCTGGCCCACTGGAAAAAAAATTGCCGGTCTATCACATCAGATAGTTTGAGAAGCATTGTCCTACAGAATTTGGTAAGTAACTAGAAAGTAATAATCAATCCAAGGTGGTATGTATGTGATGATATAACTGCAGTGATGGACAAGAGTCTGTGTGTGGATGCTGGATAGAATTACTCCTGAAACAATGTCTATTCCAAATGATGTGCATCTTCTATCCTGCATCAGTGCAGTCCCACCATTCCACACGGCTGTGTAGGTTTGGCCTCAGGGGTAGATTTGTACCTTAAAGACTAACCAAAGTAGATATGTATAGCATATGTTTTTGTGAGCTGAAGCTCATTTCATCAGCTACTGTGGCTGTAATATAAAAAAAAATCTACTTTGGTTAGTCTGTGAAGTGCAAGTCTACCCTGCCTTCTACTTGACTTTAGACTAGCATGACTCACTACATCTCTCTGATATAGCTGTGACATGCTTCCCATTCTGGCTATGTCAGTCCCACATTCCTTTTAATTGATTGAAGTTGCTGGAAATGCAGCACTTAACTTTTTAATTTGTTTCCCTTTGCTTTAGCAGTCTGGCTTCCATAAGAGGCCTGATTTCCTAGTCTCAGGATGATTCATGTATGCTTGTACTCATGACTGGTCATGCCTGGGTGTTTCCAGTCCCTCCCTGAGCTGTAGCTGCAGCAGACTTTAGGGCTGTCTTGCTTCCAGTGACCTTGCTAAATGCCAGGAAGTTGGACTTTTTGAGGGTGGAGTTGGAACAGCAGAGAGGAACAGCTGAGTAATACCAACAAAGCTAATGCTTCAGACAGCCTCAGAGACCCTGAGGGGGTATCTGTATTGGTCGGTGGGGAGGAGAGGACAAATCACAAATGAGTTTGAATAGTGTCAAAGGTCTTGTCATGTTGAAGATCTCATAATTTGAACTTTGACAAAGGTCTTGCTGGGTAGAGCAGCCCACTTGTACAGCTGACCATCATCTAACTTCTTTAATCTGTTTGCAGCGGGGAATAGGGGGGGGAATTTTCCCACAAAACAGCCTGCTGCCTTTTGCTGTGCCTCGTATAGACGCATCAACAAGTCACAGGGCTGTTGTGCAATTCCTCTCCGGGTAAACTGACTCTGCTAGAGAACAGCCAGCACTGTCGTCATCCCCCCACCCTTTCCCATGAGATGCTGTTCCCAAACTGCTGCACCTCCATCAGTTACTCAGTAACTCTTTGAAGTAAGAATAAAAAAATCTGCTTTGCCAGATGTGTTCCT